AATACTAATGTACAATTTATTTTAGAAAAAGCGAAAATAATGCATTTTGACCTCAAGCTCCTCATTTTTTAGATCGTTTTTGTTATTTTTAGGAATATCACTCATAAATGAATATATGTTCCAGTGTTTATATCACAACACAATTCATATTTATAAATATACTTTTTTGATGGGGAGGGGCAGAGGAGAAAAGATGTGAATTAGAATCAATATATGTGATATTGTTTACAAAAGTAGAGTATTTATTATATATATGCATGGACCGATATTATTTATATAAACGTTTTTATTTAAGAAATATTTTTCTAAATGACTTTATATAATGATTTATTTAATTTGTTTACAGGTACGTTTGAAATTATGAAGTAGGATATTTTGGCAAAATATATTGGTATGTACCACCTCATTATTGGTTTCATTAGTAATTTTTAAACTGTTTTGTTTGCATAATTTGCATAAACTGTTTGTTATTTGAAACTTATAACAAAACAATAAAGTTATTTATTCAATTAATAAATTTCTTACTTGATTATTGTGCATAATTAATTCGATACCATTTGAAGAATTCTGATTTTATTGAGTCATTTTTATAGATATTTTGAAGTTCCTTAATTTTGGCTCAGATAGTCAAATAAATCTATACATATATAGACATACATAACGCTAAAAAAAAAAGTTTTCTGTATTTTTGTTTTTTCGTCCCATCAAAACCGGACTCGGTAAACTTATAATCGTTGTTAACGAGAAGGGCAATGGCAATTCTTGATTTCTGACTCATTTCTTTTTTTTTATTAAGTTTTGCTTTCACACTATGTATGTAATATATAGTAAGGGTAATTATTGCGATGGTGAAAATTTTTAAATCTGAGTTTTCAACAGAAATACACGTTTTGAGGTCTCCTGAGTCCAAATAATCCAATTAGTCTGTGTGTGTGTGTGTGTTTACCGTCTGACTCAAAAACGAAAAGCTGTACGGAAGTGAAATTGCATATTTAAGGGTTTTATATGCTAGGGATGTTACAGCAACTTTTTCATCAATTCGGCTAACCGGAAGTGGCACTTTATATAATGAACTAAAAAAATATTTACGATTATCTCTAAAACAGCTCTAACGATTTTGATTAAATTCATGATATCAGTGTAAAATTAAGCAGTTTTAAATAAAATTTGGTTATTATCCTGATTGATGTTCTCAAACAGGGTTTAAGTGGCTAATTTTCAATATTAGCTTCCTCTAAAGTACCTTCAATTATTTTTATTTGAAATAATTGTCCATTTCACATTAATTTCTAATATGAAAAATGGTTAAATATAAAAAACGAAAAAATTTAATAAATAACTAAAGGAGAAATAAGAGATTGTAACGGAGAATAGTTGTGTTTGAGGAACTAAAGGAATACGAGCGCACCCAAGCTCGCCATCAAAGATTAGAACACACTTCCATACGTATCATGAGATTAATATAATACGGACTCGGACAATATTATATAAATACACATATGTGGTTTTCATAAATGCTGTTGTTGGTATTATTTAATATGTAATTGTTTAGATGATAGTGATATAAATATTAAAATTTGTATATAGGAGGGTACTTACACAAGTAAAATAAATAAAGAGTCTATAATTTTTACTTTCACTTCTTTCACTTTCACGTCTGAAAATATTCATTTCTGTTAAGAAGAGGGTGGGAAGTGAAGGTTGTGTGATGCGCGCACCACACCTGATTTTTTTATTATTGTATCGATTCCTAATTTTACTGTATTTTAAATAACTAATATAGGTGCTAAGGAAGCTATCCTAATTTAATTGACGGACTTTTTTTTTATTCCTTGGTGATATAATTTCATTCAGGCATCCGGATAGTTATTACAGGGGCGGTAGAAAGTGAGCGACTGCAGAAAGAAAAAGCCTGCTATATAAGACTAATTGATAACAGGTTGGCCCTCGTAGGGTTAGCTAATGGTAAAAGTACATCTTGCTAATTGCTATACTCTTAATCTATTTAGTAATTTCTTAAAATAATTCATCAACTTATCCTCCATCTAAAATAATCCTGACTACGACAGGTTGTAAAATAACCGATTCAATAACTAGAGCTAGTTAAAAAAACTAGTTGGGAAATTTTAGATGGAAGACCCACCCATTGCAAGAGTTGTAAATTTTTTTGCCCTGGAGTACCTCATTAAAAAGTTGTTTCGTATCGAAAAAGGTTAAACTGTACTTAATTAAATAAATGTAGGCTTCCATAGATGATCGCGGGAGATTTGGACGATATTGAATTTTATACAGCAACAAATATTGACAAGAAAATTTCAACTTTCAACTAAGAACAAATTATTTAGTACCCGCTTTCATAATTGGAAATAAGAATTTATTTTTAAAAAAATATATAATTATAATGAAGGTGTGTTCTTTGAATTCGAGTAATTAATTTAGAATTAATTTGCAATAGTTAGTAAGAAATAATCTTTGATAATTATTTGATTTAAATCAGATAGACAGGATTTAAGAAGCTATCAAAATCGAATGATTAGATAAGGATTCAATAACGGGATTTTTCTTTTCCTTTTTATTGCATATATAATACTAAAATTACTTTTTGAAATATATATGTGGTTTAATACTATTTAGATTTGCCAATAATGATTTATTCCGAATCTTTATAATGGATTCAAACCTCAAGGAATAAATTGAGAAAACTGATAGACTTATACTGTTCTAGAAAAAAAAAAACACTGCAAATTATTCCACAATGGTTTATTATTTACAAACAACTATACATCTAAAGTAACATTCTAGTTACAAAGAAAAATAAATAACAGGTGATTCCAATTATTGGACTAAACTTTTTTTTTTTAATCATTAGTAATATGCTAAAAAAAATAGCATTACTTCAGTAACACAGTCAAAATTTAAAAACCAAACAAAGGATGTAACAATTGGAGTAGAATTAAATTTTACCATCCCTCGTAACTTTTTTTTCCAGCTTCTTTTCGTTGAAGTATGTTATATAGATAAATTTAAAGGGCGTAGAGAAAACGACTTTAGCGAAGTTTCATTGAAATCGTTACATTCGTTTAGGCGCTACAGTCTATAGCAATGCAGGTTTTTCGGCCGCCATTTTGAAAGTAAAAGGCGGATAATATTGCAGATGAAGGAGAATCATCCTCGGGTGACCTTTGATCTTATATCCAAATTTGAAAAAAATCGGTCCAGTAATTTCAAAGAAAATGCGCGGACGGCGGACGGACAAAAACATTTTTATTCGTTTTTCGAATTCTACGCATCCTGAAACGTGAAACCTCAAATTTTGAAAGGGGATTAAGTTTTTGAATTTTTTGGTCGATCACAATGGTTGATTATTGAAAATAATAAACCAATATGATTCCAGTTGCAGAGTAATAATATATGTCTAGTAAAGTGAAATAGCTTTTCAAAGTTATGAAAATTTCATCATTATATTAAATCATTTTTTAGAATAAAAATTGTCTATATAATTAAGTGTGATAGTTTTGGATTGCGTGCGGCACGAAAGGTTTCGAAAGGAGTAGGACCGACTAGAATCGTCCTCGAGGACGCCATCTTAAGTGGTCTGGTCATGTCTGGAGATTTGGAGATGACCTTAAAACAATGCAGCCGCTGGACAACGAGGGAGAAGGAGATACACTTATTCGGAGAATGTTCGCCGACAGAAATGAGGAGAACGATGAAGAACTTTGGACTTTTTAATAATAATAAGATTTTATTTTCTTCTTTCTTCAAAGCCATTTTTATTTATTTCTGAATAATTTATCAATTTTCTTTTACTGCTAAAATGCGACTTAAGAACTACACTAATCTTTGAAAAAAAGATTGGATTGGATTTTCATATATATATATATATATATATATATATAGGAAGTTATATATATATATATAATATATATATATAATATATATATATAATATATATATATATATATATATATATATATTTATATAATTTAATATATATATATAATATATATATATATATTTAAACTTCCAATATTCTACAAAAAATTCTGAAATGGGAAAAAACGGAGGAAAATGATGAAGGTTGACTGAAAGTATTGTTAAAAAGTTATAATATCAATAATGAATATTTTCTAAGAAACACGATTATATTGATAATTATTACACTACTAGATGTGTTTACCGAGTTCTGTGGTAATCTTTCTCATAGGCACATTGGTGCCCACGGGCACTTGTTTGAAGACTACTAATTCTATCGAATTAATTAATAAAATTCTTTTAAACTGTATAAAGTATCATCTACTATCAGTCTTAAAGGGATATAAAAGTATTCGAGAAAATTAAGTATTTTAAAATTCAAAATTTGTCCCAGATTTTAGCGTTTCGATCCACTTTAGCTTGATAGACGAATGTAATGTGGAATAAAAATATTTTGCCATAACAAATACTAAAACAGTCTGGTAGTATAAGAGATGTCATCTTAAATTCTATTTTTATGATAATCTAAAGGTTATCCCCTATCTGCCTAACGGCAGACCAACCCCCATTTTGCAAATTATACAACAATTCATTTAACTGTAATACTCGTAGCTGAAATTTACTTTAACTTTAATTTACATGTATTCTGTAGTACAGAATGTATTATTTTTCATCAACATTAAAAAAAAAAAACATTACCCGTACAAATTTTTAGTCTAAAATCAACTGTCATTAAATCAATTAAATGAACAGCTGTTTAATTTGTTAAATAATCGCCGAGCTCCTGTTATCTCTTACTGTCCTAATACTAAAAGCCACTAAAAACTTTTTTTAAAACTTCAATAAACATATGTTTTTTTCTGTTTTTTCTTTTGTCGCCTTAACCACCCTGCTCACTCTCTGCCTATCTTGGGCTATTTCTTTCCTTTTGTCCGCATGCATTTTTGTTGATTCGATCTGTACATTTGCTTTTTGGCCTTCCACATGGTATTTTCCTTACCATTGAGGCATTCATTTGTTGTTCCTTATGAAATTCTCCGAGGCACATGCTCCGCCCATCTTAACCTCCTTGCCTTCATGTCATGAGATTGACCAGTTTTGTTTTCGCTGCTCTTTATTGATCTTTCCATCTTAGCGTTAATACTCTGATACCAGAGTTCATCGTTTATCGCTCGGACGATTTTTCCCTGCATTAAAATATTATATAAATATTCCTTATGGATTAAATATATTATAGAAAGTGGCGTATTAGGTTTATTGAGAGCCAAAGACAATTATCAGTAAGAGCAGAACATAAATGCAGATCGAATGGACTCTATTACACACCCACAACTAGCTAGTATCGATTTCGAACATCTGTCACCATCTACAGCTTCAATATAATAGGCCACTCCAAGTATTGAAACCGTCTTTAAAACATTCATTAATTGATCGAATGCTTATAAGTTTATTATTATTTATTTAAACAATATTTATTGAAAATTCTAGATGAAAAATTTAGAATGAAATAAAGCCTCTAATTTAACGACATTTAGCTAATTGAACCAATCCACTTCATATATTGAGTAAAATCAAGTCAAAGGTTATGGGCCCTCTAGAAAATCTGAAAACATTCAAATAAGTATATATTCTTTTACTATCCGAAAATTCATTTAAATTTTATCCATCCCAAAATATTGCTAATGTATCACTTGATTAATGAAATATTAAATTTGTAATTGTTCGGTCCTTCTTTTTTTTTTAAATGTGAGAAAAGTTGCATTATATTTCTATTTTCTTTTTCAACTTCGATTGCCTATAACGATATGGGTACTTTTATATTAAAAGTTCATGTAGGGTTGTCTACATATAGAGAAAAACGGGAATAGTCTAGGACTTTCATTATTTCGGAAAAAAATTAGGAATTATTCCGGTATTTTCGTTAAAAAAAAAGATTTTTTCGATGATGATATATTGCCCTTCTCTCTCCCCACCCCTCCAAAAAAAAATTATAATAATAAAATAATGAAGAGAAGGATGGTTGGGGTGATCAGTCATAAATAAGAAGGCAAAATAAATAATAATATTTATTTTAATATTTGCCGACGTTTCGCCCTGAAGTTCAGTCCTTCATCAGGGCTGCTCCCATAAGATTGCGGAGTACACTAAAAAAAAAAAAAAAAATAAAAAAAAAAAGTCGGTACATAAACTTTTTTTTTAATACTAACCATGAGACTTATAATACTTTGACACACCATCTATTGTGTTCCGGGTTTTGGGTATACGTTTCTTTAACATAACTTGAAACTTAATTCATTTTTTACAAAATTTTATTATGATTTACTTTGATGTACTTTTTACCGGTTCAAATACAATATTTCAGAGAATTTGTCAATTATTTTTTCTCGAATCATTTCTTCTCCATCTTATTGTAGTAAATTATAGTTCATTATAATTAGTTTATATTATTTTTTTTTATATATTTCAGACAATAACGCGAAAGGAAACAATTCAGTTTAATAAACGTTTAAACGAAGGTAAAAATTAAATCACTAGCACAATGAACATATGTTCTAATTTGATTGTAACTTGTTTACAATGAGTTTAAAATAACAGTTTTTTTTTTTTAATTACTCCCCTACGTTGAGTAAACCACTGCTGGAGTTGGCTCCCTTGCTCTGTCTCATCCTATCCTATATGGTATAGGTTTCTGTCAATAATACCCTTTATATAATTTTTTCCCAAACTAAAAAATATCATATATTCTTTGGTCTTATTAAATAGAACCCTAAAGTCCATCTATGGCCGACTATATGGTAGGGGGGAAGGGAAGAACTTTAAGGTCTCCCCCTGTCACGACCTGACCCTGATGAGGAGGCCTACATTCTTCTTCAGGCTTTTAGGATCTGCCTACTCACATCCAGGATATCTCTTCTGTGATCCAGCTGCGGGAATAGTCCCCGATCTGTAGCACGATCGGATATCGTGACTGTCGCTTTAATCTTATTCTAAACCGTTAAAGAAAGACAAAAAAAAAAAGAAGAAATTTTAATTTTTTATAAAATTCATTTTTATTTTAAAATAAAAAAAAATAGATAAGAGTTTATATGGAAGGTTAATTTGTTTGTACACCATTGTTTTATTCCTTTTACATCATTGTTATTTTACAAGACGACGCATAGTGGTCTGAGAGAGGCAAAAACTCCTATTTTCGAGTTGCTTTGATAATTCAAATTTCTGTGTTTTCAATGTTTGACGTAGTTAACTGATACATTCATAAAGTTTAGGAACGAATAAAAAGTACTAGTTTCCAGGACTTTTAATTAAATATAAATAAAAAGCTTTTTTCTACAACATTAATAATGTAACTAATTATAAATCAGTAAATATATTTTCAGCGTTTTGTTGTCATGGTCTTTATTCTTTGTAGATGTATGTAAAGGTTTCTTTAAATTACAACTAGAACTTAACTAATGTTATCCTGTTGTAATTACAACCAAATCTATTTATATTGAACTTTTTATATAGAACCTTGAATTTCTATTTTGAAAATAACATATTATCGTAAAAAACGCTGATTCGATTATCAAAACATCTGAATATTCATGAAGCAGTATTGAAATGAAATAAATGAATATTCTACAAAATATCTTTTAAGATTCAATTTCAGAAATTGTCTTATATCGGTTTTACCGAAATACATATATATATATATATATATATAGTATAATTGTAATTGTGTGTATTAGTATATTATAGTATTGATATTGTTTATGCTAAGTGATATGAAAAAGAATTTGTATATGTATAAATATGTGATTAAGTATAATTGAGTGCTATTTCCATAAAAAAAAAGGATTGATCAGGCTGCTGTGTATCGAGCACAACGCTATATAGTAGGGCAGCACTGCTTTAAATGAAGTATTTCTCTCTCTTTAGCCCAATTAATGAAAAAAATAAGTGTTTTTAGTATGAAACGAAAGAAAAATTCAAATATTTGTGTATATCGAAATTTTTATTTAGCGTCTTTTTTCCCCGTGGACATGAAACCTTTCTTTTCGATATACAAAGGTTGGACTGATTATTCTATTCTTTTTCAACCTTGATTCCCGTTATCGACTATTTCGATTTAGTACACAGTATATACTATAGGATTCTAGTTTATGAATTTACCTACATTTTGATGACATAAAGCTGAGTGGTTGGAATTTTTCCAGTTATAACCGAACATTAATTTTCTGTCTCTTCGTGATATTTTTACTGATTTATATGGATTATCGATAATTTTCAAAATTTTATTCCATTTATAAAATATTGGTTAGTTATTATTCATGTTTGCATATTTTTTAAATTTCATTTTATATTATTAAGGGTAACATTAAAATATTTTAAAAATAAATAGATTTTTAATTCTTATTTTCAGTTGTTAATAAAGAGTGAATTCAATACGGCAGTTTCACACTCTAGCTTGCAATAAACATTCCGTTCCCAGCAGTGCTGTTGAAATACTCCCGAAAGGAGTATACCTATAGGTAACAAACCAAACCTGGAAATGAAGATATTCCCTCACGCCTGGAGATCTTCCAGAATGGTAACCTGCCCGAAGAGACATGGAGTGAAGGTAGAAGAACATTTCTCACTCTGAAATAGTGGATCGGTAAAATCTCTCCCGTGCCTAAGCCTTCTTTGGTTCAATCTCAGGGTCTACCCTAACGTTCTGTGAGAAAAAAAGAGCTCGCCGTCATACAAGGAGGTTGTATGAGAATAATACACATGTATGAGACGGGTGTTAGAAGAAGAGGATCGACTATACAAAAGTGAATTTGAGGGAGCTTAGCATGTATGTACGCAGAGGAGGAGAGACTGAGGATAGCAGCCCCTCTTACTTGAAAGAAAATAAAACATAATATAATACAAAAGGTATGCCGAGAAAAATATAAAATTGTTTTCCATGGATTGGGTTGGCAAATAAGTCCTTTCGGTTTTTCTTTTTATGTCACTATGAAACATTTCTTATCTGATGAATAATATGTAATATGTCAACAACTAACTCTTTTTGAAACTAGCTATACACTGTGAATATGGAAGAAAATGTCATGCATTATCGAGATATTTATTTGTATTATTTTAAAGAAGGTTAGCGTGCTGCAGAAGCTCATAGAAAAATGTACAGTGTTTATGGAAATGATGCCTTAACCGAACGAACGATTGCCAAATTTCATTCAGGAAATTTTGACATCAATGATACTCAACGGTCTGGTCGCCCACATGAAATTGAAACGAGCAATGTTAAGTCCATTGCTGATCAAAATTCCACCCAATTAGTGTGAGATATTGTTATGACCCTAAATGTGTCGCACACAAGCGTGGAAAACCATTTGCACGACCTCGGCTATCCAGACTTAATGTTTGGGCTCCCCTTACATGATATTTTTTTCGAAAATCACAAAAAAATTTATAACTCCAATACGACTTTAGCTATCTACAAGAAATTAGCAGAAATTTAGGGCCACATAAACTACACAAAATGACATCAACAGGTCCTTCGTATACAATTGAAATTCGCGCGACGATTATAAGCCATTGCACTCATTGGTGAGTTACCAGAACAGTGAAGCATATACGAATAGAGTTTAGTTGGTACAATGTTCAAAGGGAACAACTACAAATGAAAACGAAAATGGTAGAAGTCCTGCAGAATGAAGAAAAAGAAATAGACATTTTTTCAAATATTTAAAGAAAAAAATTTTATTAAAAAATATAAAATTGAGACAATACGCTAATGTCTCTTAGGGGTAGAGGTTAAATAAATAAAAGATAAAAAATATACATAGAAATCAGAGTACTGTTGATAAAGATATAGCTGTTTTAAAATATTTTTAGTTTATTTTTTCAAAAATGAACCTTTCTTAAAGTAAATTTAACCTGAAAAAAACAATCTACAGCAAATTTTTAAGTCAGATGAGAATAACTCAAATGTATTATCTATACAAAAAAACTTGTACCAATACAACCCATAAAGAGTCTTAGATTAAGTACTTGGTAAGTAGTACTGTTTAAAGGTCAACGGTTGTGCAAGTAGGTGATCGGGCTGGAATCTCGATGAACCACTAGGTTTCTCTCCCTTAATTAATTATTTTAATTACCAGTAGCCACTGAATAGAGCATGGATTTGCCCCAGAAGAGTCTCTTGTCCTCAGGGTTGATCCATTGCTAATGAAAAATTACTTTTAACTAGCCGGATTCGAATCCGAACCTTGAGGTTTAGAAGTCAGAGATTACCCATTGAGCTATCTAGTCCCCTGCTATAACATTGAATGATTTTCAATTTAAAAAAAAGGGAGGGGAACTTGATCTACTAGAACCAATGGAAGATCTTGGGTTAAGTAATTAGGAAGAAAGCACTTGCAAGGCCAACTGTTGTGTTTTGGTCGAAATCACACTCAACCGGCCTTTTTTCTTTTAATAAATAACTAGTAGGCCCGTGCGAAAAATTCGCACAGCATATTGTTATCAAGTGCCAAACTAATAAGAAAATAAAATAATGCAACGTAACAAAAGATAAAGAAATCAATTGTTACTTTATCCATTAATATAATCTACAAAGGAAACAAAATTAATTTAAATCTTCAGTTTTGTTTGGAGCCAACATATTTACAAATTTCAATAAGCTGTATCTTTGCGAAAAATTGTCCGATTTCAATGATTTTTTTTCCTTTTATAGACAATTAAGTAATGTTTTATATAATCATAGGAATGACATAGGGAAAACTGTGTATTTTTTTAGTTATTCGCAAATAAAGTTTCTTTTTTTTTCATAACTTGTTTGCCTGAATTTTCGGGGTGATTGGAATATTTTTCCCGCCTGAAGGAGAAGAAAGCCTTCGAAACTGGTGGCTCAATCTTGAGATTTGGTGAAGAATTAACCATGATATGGTTTGCCGATCAAAAACACCATCGATAAATTATATAAACTCCTCCTCTCTCGATCATAGAGACCTCAAGTCGACGAAATGAGACATGTATCCAATGACAGTACTACAATTAACGTCAGGTTGTGTGGATGCGAACCCCATGCCTTGCGTTATCTCGAAAATAGTACGTTTTTGGGCTTAAAAACGCAGGATCCGTAGTTCCGGAACTACGGTCTTGCTGTACGCATCAAAATCTTCAAGGTCCAATTTGTCCCGCATCGATCTACAGACCTACCACCGTTCCAGTATTGAAGCCTAGCAAAATGTTTGTATCGACTTTATTTATTTTAGAAAGAAAAACAAAAGCGGAGAATACGATTCGCTAACCCCCCGTGAAATTCTGAATCCAACGGTACCCCATCCATGGTATTTGAGCATGACAGGAGCTTATATTTGGTACAAAACCGATTTCGAGCCTTACTGTAATAATATATGTACGGATTGACCTATCCACCTGCCATAGCCGCACTCGAACCCAGAATATGTAGCGTTGGAGCATAGTGCCTTACTGACTTTATTCAACATTTTACTCATATAAGATTGAATAATTTTCAATTCAAATTGTCTAAAGTGATTAAACTTGGAAATGCATACTTAAAAAAAGTTTCTTCTGTGAAAAGATGTAGATGTTATACCGGGTAGACATTATTCATAAACCTTGACGGTAGTAAAAGAGAACTTAGCTGATCTGCATATAATGCTATGACGTTTGCATATTGGGCGTCCCGGCTACCACCTCTCGGAGGTGTAAATTATACTGGCTCTTTTGTCATCGGCAGCCTTCGGCTCAGAATTATCATAATGGCGTTCTGCAAATGTTCAATAAATTCCATTAGCGCTCTCTACAATGGAATAAGGAAACCATTTGCATATGTAATAGTAACATCGAGAAGAATCTCTCGAGGTCTGCTGTCTCCAGGCTAATACGTTATATTTATTTATTCATACTGTAAATGAAAAACTTATGATTAATTTTTATTTACTATTGTCTGAACGTAGCATATTGTTTACGTAATTTATTGAGTGATGTTGTCCAATTATTATTATTTATTAACAGCTACCTCAATGTATTTCTTCAGAACATGCCATACTGCAATCGCATCAGGATTATGAGGTGTCAAAATAGACACAAACAGCGTTTATACCATTTTTAAAAGGAAAGTCAGATTCAGTCAATCAGATTTTTCCTTTTTTCACCCAGAACGAACTTAAAAAACCCTTTCGGTAAAATATATACAAAATAATAAGTAATATTTTATGTGATTCCTCGTTTTATGTCTGTTTTATTTATATAATTTAAAAAATAGATTAAAATGTGCTCAGTTTAGGCTGTAATTGATAAAAATGGTTTCCTTTTTTTTTCCCCTCTCTACTTTGGAATTTCCCTAAAAAAGTAATTTTTCCTTCAAATTGGAAACCCTGCTCAGAAAGTAGAGTGACAGTAGGTTATTATTTGAAGATTTGTGGTTATTTCAAGTATAGTTTTACCCATTAAGGTCTAAGAAAAAACAAATAACTTATAGTATTCTTCATTTTCTCTCATTCTGTGGAATGTAGTGAGTATCAATTTGGTACAACACTGGGTTCTTCCCAGGAGAAATTTGAGTTGCAATAGAATTCGAGTGATAAATAATGTATGTAATATTGAGATTGTACTTTAAAAAATAGTTAAAAGTGGTTCATATTTAGCTAGAAAATTGGAATAACTGTGGTGTAGACTGAGTGTGTGGCATGAGTCCATTCTAACTTGGGGTATAATGCTGCCAAACAAGATATCGTCAAAATTTTTTTTTTATCTCTTTAAGTATGTATCTGCACCTGTCATGGTATTCACAATCAGCAAATGAGTTGTGATAAAATATGGATTGACATTAGATACTACTTGGTGGGGGAAGAAGCATAAATACCTTACTTAAATGGAGGTTTTAAATCTAGTATAAGCTAAAAAGTTCTTTTTTTTTTCATATTCACTGACGCATAAAAAATTACAATTAATCTACTTTCTTTTAAATTTAATTTAGTATAGTTCGTTATTTTAAGGGTTTGTAATAAAAAAAATGTAGTCTTACATAGAGAATGTTTTTACTAGTTTAAACACACTCCGGATGATTTGAGTTGTATATAATTCGAAACTTCAAGTAGAAGAGACATTTTTCCCTAACTTGAACGATTTTTTTATACTGATCAGAAACAGTAGAATTTATAAACGCCTTAACGAAAAATTTTAATGGTAAACTGTTGATATATTTTTTTATTGATATAGTTCACCCAAAATAGTTACTAAGATTTTTCCCTCACTCATTTTTCCCCATTTCATTATGGCTGCCTTGTGTACGGTAGACTATCTGGTGGGCTCGAGATCAGATTGAAGAGAATGATGAATTGTTCCATTAGATTCATTTTGGAGCCTCCAGGCGCTTCCAAGTCTCCAGTACGCCGAGCTGAAGTGGCTCTATCCAGCTTTTCGACGGCAATATTTCCTATGTGGTTTTCTTTTCAGAACCTTATCAAAACAACTAAAGGAGAAATAAGAGATCGTAACGGAGGATAGTTGTGATTGAGAAACCAAAGGAATACGAGCGCCCCCGAAAGATTAGAACACGCTTACATGAGCTTAAATTATATTAATATAGTTTAA